GGCTGAACGGATAAGGTTGTGCTGATGGGCACTGATGAGGAGGCACTGATGGACACTGATAGGTGGGACTGGTGGGCATTGACAGGCGGCTTTGATGGGCACTAATAGGCTGCACTGATGAGCACTGATTGGCACTGATAAGCAGCACTGATGGGCATTGCTGGGGCTGCACTGATAATCATGACATTGTTGATCAGTGCCCTGATTATTAGTATAAACAAATCGCTGACAGCCTTGCCGGGTATCAGCTGTTTCTTCCTCACACAGACACAACGTGAGGAAAAGACTGCTGATAACCAGCTAGTCTGTTTACATGTGATCAGTTGTGATTGGACACAGCTGATCACATGGCAAAGGGCAGCTGTGATTGACCTTTTACCATGATCTGTGATCAGCTGTGTCTAAAGGACACAGCGGTTACAGAGCACACCCAATGTATGTTCTGGGAGGACTATAGATGCCCTTCCAGAATGACAGAATTGTGCTGCTGCTGTCTTTTGGCTATGGTGTGGCACTAAAGTGGTTAAACATTACTAGTTTCTATTTAGGTGTGGGTGTTCACATTAAAAGGTATAAATCCTTTTTGCTGGCCAACACATATACCTTTTTGTTCTGGGCAAATAAATCCTTTAACCTTATTAGTTGTCTGAAGGAGGTTTAGGCTCACTAAATAAAGAATCTCTAATAAGCCCCCCCCCCCCCCCCCCCCCCGACTAAGTAAATATCTTTATTTTTAAGGTTTTCTTTTATTACAGACATCCTAAAAGAGATAAAAGAGAAAGGGGTTATTTAAGTGCACTCTGCTTACTTTATGTCTCATTATTTAAGTCAATACCTTAGCACCAAATATCCCAAAACATATTTCAGTTTTTCAAAATCTGCACAGCTAGTAATCCATGAAACACCAGAATCAGCACAAACATCAACAACAAGACTTCTATAAATTGGCAATTTTCCCCCCTCAGCTAGGAGCATCTGAGAGTGGATATATAAAAGCAGATTCGGGGCATCCAGCAAGGTCACTGTGACCAAACTAAATTGGCTCACTGGTCAGAATGAAATGTATCAGTTGAAATGTATTAACCTTCTCACTCCAAAAAAGCCCTTTAATGTTAAAGGGTCAGTAAGTAAAACATCTAGACTTTCTTTTGCTTCTTTGATGCCCTTTCTACAGTTCTAGAGTTTTGACTATGCATATTATCACTTTTATTTAAAAAGTTTGATAGATGGCTTAAGAGTTTTACCTGTTAGATGCATAGTAAGGAACCTTTTAATGATTACATGCAATTTCTCCAGATTTGTTGATGCTCAAAAGTAATATGAAAAAGATGAAATGTCACTGAGTCTCAGGACATTCTGTGTGCTTCATATTAAAAACGTAATTTAGAAAGAGCATTGGAAATAAAGTTTCTGCTATGAAAGTGCATGCTTTAAAACAGTGGTTCTCAAACTTATTGAGAAAAGGGTCCAGTAAATCCTTCAAAAACCTTCCATGCCAGCATTAAAAAAAAAAAAAAGTTTATACTTACACAATAAAAGTATAAAATACAAAATATGTAATAAAATTCTGGAGGGCTCTGGATGGGTGTCACTGTAAGGCGACGTGGGTTATGAAAGGGATTGGGGGACCATGCAGCAGAGTTGGTGGCCCTTTAGGAAGTGAGGTTTCTAAAATGAGCTGGGGGCATCTGTGGGGGATGGGGACTATGGAGGGGGCTGGAGGTCTCTCCAGGATGCTGGGGGCTTTCCAGGGGCATTGTGGGTGACTGTAGAGTACTGAAGGGACTTGGGGGAAACCCCTGTTGGGGTTCTGCACTAAGCAAGGGGCTGGAAGACACTGGGGGCAGTTGACTGCCACTGTTGAACATAGAAAAAGTCAAAGAGTGCCTCTGCTCAGACAGACAAAGAAATCCTGGTGACAGAGAGTGAAGCAAGGCTCTGTGTGTATATGGGAGAAGACAGAAAGGCACTTCCAAGTGCAGTTTTCCACTGTTTTTTTATTAAGAAAACAGGTACTTACAAGATATGCAAGATCAGTGAGCTCATCAATGGTAAAGTCTGTGCGGGGTTCCATTCACTGTGGGTCTCTCTCATGCTATGCCGGCCAGCAGCTGCAGTGGGAGCAGAGAACACAGGTCCAAGATGGCCGCTGCTCTTCTGGGGTGCCTGGTGGAATGCATACTGCTGGCGTGAAATGCATACACCAGAAGTGACATCAAAGGGGGCAGGGACACGTTTCGGAGCATGTACAGTTAGCTCCTTCATCAAGACCTAAACCCCATAGAGATGAGCCAAAATATATGCTCTGGATGGGCAGGGAGGGGGCAGGCTATAATGGGTGGTATGTAGGCATTCACAGAACTAAGAAGGGCGGAGGGGGGCAGATACTTAGGAGCATAGCAGTACCTAATACTGCCAGTAAAGTAAAAAGAGCACACAATGTCAGGAACCAAGCATATGTATGCTAAGGGGCTGCATGTTACTGGACCCCAGAGGCAAAATAGTATGAATGTCAAACAGCACAACTATGTCTGTGTATATAAATCCATACATACACACATATGCACAAAAGCATATGAGTACTATAATAATGATATTAACAAAACAATTTACAGCTTAATGTGTGGGTATGTTCATAATACAAATGTGGGAGAGTAAATCATTTGGGTGATGGTATTGATATGGGATTGGGATATGAATGCTTACTCCTCATATGATATGCCAATAATGTATAAGCTGTTGAAAGCAATTAAATCAATTGCTATCGCTATGGTTATAGTATAAGGTGTGAGGACTCCTAAATTGAGTGTCTGGGCATGATGTCCTACCGGGCTATAGGTGGACATTGTTACTAATCATAGATGGAGAAAGACAGCTAAATGCGAGAAAACGTTCCCATATTTACCCATACAGTCCATTTATGAGGTGATACCTAGAGAAAGTGATTTATGATGTTAAAATGCTTTATACACTGCTAAAAAAATTAATGAAACACTTTGAAAACACATCAGATCTCAATGGGGAAAAATGTCATGCTAAATATCTATACTGATATGGACTGAGTAAAATGTGTTAGAAACGTAGGGATTCCCCATAGCTTGATGGAAATGAAAATTATCAACCTACAGAGGACTGAATTCAAAGACACCCTGAAAATCAAAGTGAAAAAATAGCGCAGCAGGCTAGTCCATTTTGCTGAAATTTCATTGCAGCAACTCAAAATGGTACTCAGTAGTTTGTATGGCCCCCATGTGCTTCTATGCATGCCTGACAATGTTGGGGCATGCTCCTAATGAGACGACAGATGGTGTCCTGGAGTATTTCCTCCCAGATCTGGACCAGGGCATCACTGACAGTGACATCCTGGACAGTGTGAGGTGCAACCTGGCGGTGTTGGTTGGACTGAAACATGATATCCCAGAGGTGTTCTATTGGATTAAGGTCAGACGAGCATGGGGGCCATCCAATGGTATCAATTCCTTCATCTTCTAGGAACTGCCTGCATACTCTCGCCACATGAGACCGGGCATTGTTGTACACCAGGAGGAACCCAGGACCCATTGCACCAGCTTAGGGTCTGACAATGGGTCCAAGGTTTTCATCTCGATACCTTTTGGCAGTCAGAGTGTAAGTGTCTAGCTTGTAGAGGTCTTTGCGTCCCTCCATGGATATGCCTCCCCAGGCCATCACTGACCCACCTCCAAAACGGTTATGTTGAGCGATGTTACAAGCAAAATAATGTTCTCCATGGCTTCTCCAGACCCTTTCATGTCTGTTACATGTGCTGAGGGTGAACCTGCTCTCATCTGTGAATAGCACAGGGCACCAGCGGTGAACCTGCCAATTCTGGTGTTCAATGGCAAATGCCAATCGAGCTCTATGGTGCAGGGCAGTGAGCACAGGGCCCACTAGAGGATGTCAGGCCCTCAGGCCACCCTCATGAAGTCTTTTTCTGATTGTTTGGTTAGTGACATTCACACCAGTGGCCTGCTGGAGGTCATTTTGTAGAGTTCTGGCAGTGCTCGTCCTGTTCCTCCTTGCACAAAGGAGCAGATACCGGTCCTGCTCATGGGTTAAGGACCTTCTACGGCCCTGTCCAGCTCTCCTAGAGTAACTGCCTGTCTCCTGGAATCTCCTCTATGCACTTGAGACTGTGCTGGGAGACACAGCAAACCTTCTGGCAATGGCACATATTGATGTGCCATCCTGGAGTTGTTGGACTATCTGTGCAACATCTGTAGGGTCCAGGTATCGCCTCATGCTACCTGTAGTGACACTGACCCTAGCCAAATGCAAAACTAGTGAAAACCAGTCAGAAAAGATGAGTAGGGAAAACAATGTCAGTGGCCTCTACCTGTAAAACCATTCCTGTTTTGGGGGTCGTCTCATTGTTGCTCATCTAGTACACCTGTTGTTAATTTCATTAACACCAAAGCAGCTGAAACAATCCCCTCTGCTACTTAACTGACCAGATCAGTATCCCAGGAGTTTAATTGAGTTGATGCTATACTGATTAAAAAGTGTTCCTTTAATTTTTTTGAGAAGTGTATTATGGTGTTCATTTCCAGTTCTTCGTTGAGACCTCCAGGGGAGAGTATGTCTAGGGCATATATCCAATACGTCCACCTGGAGCAGAGGCACTGGAATCATTCTACTTCAGGGAGGTTTCTTGGATATCTCTTGGAATGGCCTCAATGACCCAGACTTGTAATCCTTCGGTAGATTTATTATGGTATGCAAAGTGTCTCGTGACTTTACATTCATGTGATTATCTATTACAATTTGACATTACCATGGATTTTTTTAACTGAAGTAGAATTGCTCAAATACTCCATATTGGAGAAATGATATTCTGTATTCTCTATTTTCCCCCATAGAAAAATTCATACATCCCAGCTACCATGCATTGTGCACAGCAGGGGCGGACTGACCATTTGGAAACTCGGGCACTGCCTGAGGGCCAGGGGTCAGTAGGGGGCCCCATGAGATGCCCCTGGTACCTTTTTCATAGGCTTTTTTGAGTTTGGGCAAGGACACAGGGGCCCCATGATCCCCTATTGCCCGGGGGCCCCATGAGTTGTCAGTCCGCCCCGGTGCACACTCTTTAGGAAATTAGACAACCATTAACTCTACTAACATCCAGTGGTTCTTTCTCACTAAATATCATACCACCCAGATCACTCCAAGGGGACTTAGGATTCTCAAAGAATGTTCCTTTCTACATGATGAACACAGAAAGGATTCATCCATTGCCGAGTTCTGCACTTCCAAATGGATTCAACTCATTATTAAGCAAAGGGATATCAAATATGCACAACTAGTCCATCAAGTTCAGATTATCTCTCAAGACATTATGAGTTTGACTACCTTTTTGCCAGTTAGATGGCTTCTTAAATTAAAAAACACCACCAAAAGGAAGGAAGGTTCCTTTATTCAAACTAAATTGGGTAAATTCCACTGAGATCTTTATTGTAACCTCTAAAAGGTCTTTTCTTGGAAACACCATATTCCCCCAATTCCCCCACTTTGCTTTTGTGACTCACTGTGACGGGACCCCTAGTATATTATCATAGGCCGAATGGACACACTCCAGGTTCCACAAAAACAAGCCCCCACCATCCCCCAGGCACATCGCACCCTCACAAGATGATTCATGTGAGGTCCCACTCAGCTGTAGAGACTGTTCCCATCTCCCATAGTTCACATCCGAGAAAACATCTCTCCAGCAACAAGTACCACCCCATGAGGCACCAGCACCCCACAAAATTCAATCCAGTCACAGAGACCAATACCATATTGGACAATAATCCCACAGCCACTGAGGAATGCTCTCAAAAGCATCTGGAGCCACCTGCTCCACCTTCCAACCAGGAGAAGGCCTTCACCTTGGCCCCCTTCTCCCCCCTGATAACAGCAACCCTCTTGGACTCCCATCAGCCATTACACCTCATTTGCACACTCATGACAATAACTATATATACAGTATCAGACATCTGCCAACACTTCATCAATCGTGGACCCTTCTACAAATTCCATAGCCAAACTTTCACATACCTCCCATGGAGAGACGGCTACCTCCACCCTAGCCATAGATACTTCAGTCTCTTTTTAAGGATATAACCTAATTTTCAACAGACCCTCCAAAAAAATTCACCAGAGAGGATGTAGGGGGAAAGGAGGAAACACTAAACCACAGAAAACCGTGCCTACAGTAAAGATTTTTAACCTTTCCACATACCCCCTATCATTCGACAAAACTAGTCTTCTAAGCAGACGGTTATCATTTGCACCTACTACACAACCTAATCCTTTACAACTATTCAAAGATTTAAATAAATTCATACACACTTTAACACTTCAAGGCTTTTATAGCATACAGTCAGCTAAAATGCTTTGAAATCTATGGATAATTCTTTTGGCCCAGATTCCTCCTCTCACGATCTAGCTGATGAATCTCTAGCTGTAGCTATGCTGGAGGAATTATACCTAAAAGGCTGTAACCATTTGGACTTAATTGACTCCCAAAGTGATGAGATTCGTATATTTACTCAACAATTTTTAACACACCACTTTACAACCTAAATCCATCTTTTACCCCATACAATCCTAAGGGCCATGCATAGAAACTTTTTATCAGGTTGCATATGTGGACGTCTAACAAATGTGCAAAAATGCCCAGACAGGTAAGCTCAAGAACATCACCCCATCAGAACAAGTCTTACATACACTCAATAGCAAAAATAATATAGTAATTAAGCCAGCTGATAAGGGAGGTAGTATTGTTATACTGAACAGGCAAGATTACATCACTGAAGCTGCTAGGCTGCTGTCTGATGAAAACACCTATGTTAAATTACATAATGACCCTTTACATTCACTAGTGAAGCCACCACCTTAGTCAACACAGCATTAGCTGACAAAGTCATCTCTAAAACAGAGGCATCATTTATACAACACACCCTATTTCTATTATCTCCCAAAATTACATAAGAACACCGCCTGCCCCCCAGGAAGAGCCATAGTGGCAGCCATCAACAGTGTCACAGTACGTTGATTTTTTCTTTCATCCTTTGGCTCAGGGTCTCCAATCATATATTAGAGATGGCATCCACTTAGTACAACAGATCACCACCTATACATGGGAATCTACATACACATGGTTGTCATTAGACATCTAGTCTTTATATACCTCTATACCCTGTGATATAGGCCTTACTATTTTTCTTGTTGGAAGATACCTCCCTTAATCTGAAACAGGCCCAGATTTTTATAGTCACCACCAGATTCTGCCTTACCCTCAACTATTTTTTGTTCAATGGGGACTACTATCTCCAAAATGTTGCCCCCTCATCCTCATATGCGAATCTAAAGATGGGTGACTGGCAGTCTTAATGTATCTGGTTCAACAAGTCCTATGCATCCAACACTATATTTTATGGCCGCTATATTGATGATGTCACAGTCATAATCATCTGGGATGGGGAGTAATCCAGCATCACTAAATTCGTGCTCCACTGTAATAACAATGATATGGGACTTACCTTTACTTCTGTCACTAAAAAGGACATGTTAACCTTCTTGGATCTAGAAATGTGCAACACAGATAAACATATATATATATGCATTAAACTATACAAAAGCCTACAGCAGGCGACTCATTCCTCCATTATAAGAGCTGTCATCATCCACGTTGGACACAAAATATTCCCAAAAGCAAGTTTTGCAGGCTAAAACACACATTGCACTCTACTGACTGATTATAAAACTCAAAGTGTAACCCTCACAAACAAATTCCTTGAAAAAGGATATCCTTTATCACTAGTAGACCAGCCGTATTAATAATATCTTACTGAACATAATACTAATAGCAACTTTACCGATCCAGACACATCCCACCTCAGATTCATCACTTCTTTTCATAGTCGTCATTCCCAAATGGAACATGAAGTTAAAAAACATTGGCCAATATTTCATCCACATTTGAAATCATCTATACCGAACAAACCTAAAATTACGTATAGGAAAACACGCAATATCAAAAGTTTATTAGCTCCTAGCAAATTAAAACAGAAACATCAGGGCTCTGCCCCCCTTCAGTTTTTTTCACTTGCAGGCATTTATCAATGTCATAGACCCATATGTCTAACCTCCCAGTTTGTCAAACACGGACAAAAAGAATTTTGCGTAAAAATAAAAACATAAAAGATACCAAATTTCTACACATACTCTTCAGAGATTGTAGTGTATTACCTTGCCTGCCCTTGTGGCCTACAATATGTAGGCAGAACTATTAGAATTTTGCACAAACATTTTGGTTAACATCGCTGTTTCATTAGAGACGGTAAGGACCACCACAGTGTCCCAAGACACTTTTTGGAATACCATAATAAATCTACTGAAGGATTACGAGTCTGGGTCATTGAGGCCATGCCAAGAAACCTCCCGGAAGCAGAAAGATTTCAGCTCCTCTGCTCCAGGGAGACATATTGGATATATGCCCTAGACCGCAGGTGTCAAACACAAGGCTCATGGGCGAATCCGGCCCTCCAGGCCATTTCATGTGGCCCTTGCACCTCTCCTGAAGCTACAGTTCTCCCTGTTTCTGCCCCCACCTTGTCTCAGCAGTCGGTAGCAGAGAGGAGGACAGAACTCCTCTGCCAGATCCTGCACCTCTCAATGAAGCTGCAGCACCCCCTCATCTCTGCCTCCCCTGGTCTCAGCAGACTCTGGTAACTGACTCCACTCCTCTGGTCCAACTCCAGACCCTGCACTTCCTGCTTTCCAGCTCTGTTCCCAAAGGGGTGCAACGTGATGTTGGGGGGGGTGTGGGATTCTTGACATCAGATGTAATGGCTAGTGGGGTGCTCTGGAATACAACCGGCCCTTTGAGAGCAACTATAATGCAGATACGGCCCGCGGTGGAATAGAGCTTGACACCCCTGCCCTAGACGTACTCTCCCTTGGAGGTGTCAATGAAGAACTAGAAATCAGCACCATAATATAAAGCATTTTAACATCATAAATCACTTTCTCTAGGTATCACCTCATAAATGGGCTGTATGGGTAAATATGGTGACATTTGCCCGCCTTTAGTTGTCTGTCTCCATCTACGATTGGTAACATCGTCCACCTATAGCCCGGTAGGACGTCATACACAGACACTCAATATAGGAGCCCTCACACCTTACACTATAACCATATCGATAATAATTTATATAATTGCTTTCAGTGGTTTATACAGTATTGGCTTATCATATGAAGAGTAAGCATTCATGTCTCGATCCCATATCAATACTATCACTCAACTGATTTACTCTCCCACACTTGTATTATGAACATGCACACATATTGAGCTGTAAATAGTTTTTTTTTTATTATCATTATTATATTACTCATTTGCTTTTGTGCATATGTGTGTATGTGTGTGTGTATGGATATATATATACACACAGACATAGTTGTGCTGTTTGACATCCATGCTATTTTGCTTCTGGGATCTAATAACATACAGCCCCTTAGCTAAAATATACTTGGTTCTTATCATTGTGTGCTCTTTTTACTTTTTAATGCTATTATGATAAGTTTATAGGCCCATGGGATTAATTATTGTTTTTTTTTAACTATACCCCCCCCTCCCCTTTTTATCTTCTCTTAAAACATTATTTTTTTTCCCTTTCAGGTCCTCCTGTCCCCTTCTCCTTTTGTCCCTTCCTCCACCTTGTTATGTATTTCACATTGCCTTGTTATATTAGTAAAGTTTCATCCACCACATAGTAATGTTGCCCTTTAGTGTCCTCCTTGCCTTAGTGCCTGCCCCCTTTTAATTTCTATAGTATAAATCCCAGGCGGTATTAGGTACGGCTTCGCTCCTACGTATATGCCCCTCTCTGCCCTTCTTAGTTCTGTGAATGCCTACATACTGCCCATTATAGTCTTCTCTTCCCTGCCCATCCACAATATATATTTTAGCTCATCTCTGTGGGGTTTAGGTCTTGATGAAGGAGCTTATTGCACATGCTCAGAAATGTGTCACTGCCCCCTTTGACCTCACTTGCGGCGTGAGTCTCTAACCTG